GTGTGTGCCTGCATTGCTGCTGAGGTGGTTGTCTCTCCCAAATTAGCCAGCACACTTGTGCTTGTACCGCTTAATCCATCCAAAACCAGATTTCTTTATCCCAGGATTAGGTAGGGAAGAGGAGGCTTCAGCAGGATACTTGTAAGAGTCTGTCCCAGGCTGCCCCTAATGTAAGATCTTGGTTAAATACCTGGAAGAGGAAATAAAGAGCACATTAGTGGCATTTACAAAGTGTTAAACTGGGAGAGATTGAAAACTGTGTTGGAGTAGAAACATAAACTGCCTGAAAATGATAAACATGAGCAGAAATTGATGGATGCTCGGTTGGGAAGACTGGGAGTCCTTCTCTGAGGAGACCGAACTTCATGCACCCATCCACTAAAATTAAGAACTCTGAAGGGAAATAATTTCAGGAGACAAAGAATAAAGGCAGAAGGGAAGCTGACACGAAACACCACCATGTGAAGAAGGCTGTAGAAAGGTTAGGACAGTTCTGTGGCTCTGTGAAGGAAATAATATAAATGTGAGGCATGTAGTGAAGGCTGCAGGCATTTGGAGAGTCCTCACTCCTCCTTTCCTCTCCTGGTTGCTTGTTCATCCAGCAGAATTTGGGCACTGGGCAGACAAGGCTATTCCTTGTCTGAGAACAGCAACTTCCTTCCTCTTGCCATACATGTCTGGAGAAGGTCCTTCTGCTTGTGCAGTTCACATCACACGTGCAGTTCCTTGTCTTTAAACACATTATTTGGCAAAAGTAGCAGAGATTTGGCCCTTCGTGAGCGTGACTCGTTCTCCGCAGCTGCCAGGAGGTGGCTCTCTGCATTTGCAGTCCCTGTTTACTACTTTGTTTATGGAATTACGTTGGACACGTTTTCCATGGAAAATGTTTTCAATGTGTTTGCCTTGAGGAAGTTTACGTAAGGGGAACAAGGAAGCCGTGGGGTGAGTAAATAGTCTGCTAACAAACAAGGCACAGAGTGGTTCACTTTTGTCAGAATGTTTTATGGCTACAATCCAAAGGGATTTTTCTTGTGCAGGACCTAATCTTATCACTGTAAGATTACATATATCAGGCTCAAGGAATTACATTTCTGTTTGCAGGATGCATTTACCAGATTTGATTAGAGCTGAGCAAAAGTCATTCTCAATAAAAAGAAGCATTTTAATCACGTGTTTTAAAGGAGGCACGTGGTTCATGGACAAGTACCCTGGGGAATTGATCAAAATGCTTCCTCATTCCCAGCCCCTTCAGTGTAAGAGCTGTGGTTCCACAGCTCCAGGTGGAAGATCCCTTTGTCCATGCCGTGAACTTCAGGTAGGTGCTCAGCCCAAATTCAGCTCACAGTTGTAGACTCAGCAATTCATTCCTCAGCTTTTTGTTACGTGGTTTATCAGAGAAGACTAGAAAGTGACTTTAAACATGACAGTCCATGTCTTGGTAAGTTGCTGGGCTTTTCCCCAGCCCTCAAATCAGCAATGAATAGTTGACTAACAGGGAAATGCAACAACTGCAGTGCAGACCATCACCTTTCACAGTGTTCCTCAACTCCCAAGGTTTTTTAGTTTTCTCTCCGGTGTTCCAGTGCTAATGCACCAATTCAGGCGAGGATCACTCCCAGCTTCTAAGATACCGTTTCCTTGGAGCAGCAAATCCTTGTTAATGATGGTTGCATAGATGGACTAACTCCATTTGGGAGGCAGTGATGTCTCTCAAAGGCTGATGCACCATTGGGATCCAGTGTAGAACAAATCAGGTTCCTTCTTTGCTTCCTAAAACATGGTAAAGAATTACAGTGTGTTAATGGAGAGATTCAGTATCCTCATAATGCTGATAAAGTTCCAGGGTTTAAATTGCTTGCTAGAAATATGTAACCTCTATCCAAATATTAATTTAAATTAACTTGAGCTGTCTGGAGGTATTAATTGCAGTCCCTCCACTGAGGCTGGTCTTTCTTTGTCTTCACCCTCATTCTGAGATACCAGACACCCTTGAGGACAATACAAAAGCACAAACAACTTCATGAAAAATAAGCAGTGCAATACTCCAGATACCTCATCTATTGCATACAATTTCACCCTATTAAAAGAAAATAGTTCCATCTTCTGCAGGAAAAACTTGCCACACAACTGTTGTCTCTGAATCAGAGGGAGCTGTTAGTTCCTAAAGAGATGCCTGGAGAAATTTTTTTGGCAGACCGAAATTCCACGCAACCGGTCTCTGTGCTCAGTTGGTCATGTTCTCTTCTTTGCAAAGCTTGAGTTTGTTTCTTCAGACAAAGCATTTCCTTCAATTAATTCACTTCTAAGATGAGGAAACAAGAGGCAGGAGGGTTATGTGGCTCTGTGCCTGTCAGTGGCAGCACTCACCCTAGTACCTGAAATAACACCTCCTCCTCAATCACTGACTTACCAGGGATGTGGGGGCAGGATTTGTTAACTTGAGTTTTAATATTTGGCATTATTGGATTTATAATGGTAAAAGACTACATCTTTTTTTTTCTTCATATTTCTTCACTTTTTCTTTGACTTGTTTTGGTTAATGCTCCACGCACTGCAAAAGTCAGACAATCTAGAGAAGCTCTTGGTTCTCTCTGCAAGATCATGTGTACATTTCTACCAACCTCACTGATCTTTTATTATTTGAAGTCACCTGTAGACTTTTGCTGGGCTGTTACTGTGTGAAAAGTAATGAGGAGTCTGTTGTTTTTCTGGAATTCACTTGATGTTGACTATTAATTGAGGGATTTTGTTCATATTTAACCCAGCTATATTGGCTGGAGCTCATCTGGCCCAGCTTTGAGCCACAGAGGAAGTCAAGGAAGAGCAGGACACAGACAGATGAGCAAAGGTGACATCAAAACTCAGTGCCCACGGCTTAACCAAGATTTTCTCTCTGTGGTAGCAACTGACAGGAGGGGAAGATTAAATCTAAAATCCAGGGTGTCTCTGGTGGACCTTGGATATTCAGTGCTCTGTATGTCAGGGCTGCTGGGGCTGGGCTGCTCTTTCCACCTTGTGGCAGTGAGAGGAGTTTCCCTTTCAGAACTGCAGGATTCCCAGTTTTGGTCTCAAAGGGTTAGGCAGGGACATTTTGCCTTAGGGCAGGGCTAAATTAGCCCTCCTGCATCTCAGACTGATGCCATTTTGGAAAGGAAATTCCATACAGGATGGAGGAAAGAAACATTCCTGGTGGTCCCTCATGCTTTGGTCTGTTCTTGTGAGCACACACACTGTGTATGAGAATTTGGCCATAGAATCCTGGAGTGTTTGGAGCTGGAAGGGACCCTAAAGATCATCTCCTGCCTTGGACAGGGACACCTCCCACTAGACCAGGTTGCTCCAAGCGCCATCCAACCTGGCTTTGAACACTTCCAGGTGGCATCCACAATTTATGTGGATATAAGAAGGTAAATAGCTTATCCCATCCACTCTATGTGATGGAATTCTCTAGTGTGCAATCCTCCACGCAGGCAGGAATTCCAGAGCAAAAGTCTTTTGTCTTGGCAGATATTGTGGGATATTTTCTCCCCCCCCCTTTGGAGAAGAACATCCCTTTCTCAGTGTGTACAATTGGTCTTTGCTTCTCAGGATCTCCATCTGTGTAATGCACAACAGCACATTTCTGTCAAGGGTCACAATCTTACCCACGTGGGATTCGCTTGGTGTGTGCACAGAGCCTGGCTAAATCCACTGGGGTTACTCACACATGTATGTATTTGCAGATTTGGGGGCCTGGCATTCCCTGTGTAAACACACACAAACAGGAAAGCAGAGTAATTATATGCAGCTGGAAAGCAGTGGCTCCTGCGAGAGGAAGAACTGGTGTCCTCAGTGTGTGGGAAACATTCACACAATGCAAACAGATGGAGTGGGGTGAATTAGCGCTCCTGCTTTTGGACACTTCCTGGGTTGCTATTAATAGCTCTCTGGTTTAGATCAAGGCACAGCCCATGCAGGGTAACAGTGACTTGGAATTAACTGCTAGAACGTGTCCTATGCTTTGAAGTCTCAAAATAGTGTTGTGTTTTTGTTTGTTTGTTTGTTCTTAATTCCCATTCTCTACCTCCTCTTCCCATTGGGATGACACCAAATACAGCATGTTTGGAGAGACTGGTAGTAATGACCTGTTTGGATGGGAAAGTGGATGTTACACTTTCCCAGCCATCCTCTGAATCATCGTTAGGGATGAGTTTTAGCCTTTCTGAAGGAAAAGTTGGTACCATACAGGGCAGGACAGACTGAGAGCCCAGTGATGTCCCTGCAGGCAGGACCACGGTGGCCAGTGGTGTCCTCAGTGCCATGCAGGGTGGGTATGCTGGTGGCCAAAGAGACCCGTGACACCCAGTGAGGTCTTGAGCTGTGCCAGGGGAGGTTTAGGTTGGACATCACGAGAAATTTCTTCACAGAAAGGGTGATCAGACTTTGGAAGGGGATGCCCAGGGAGGTGGTGCAGTCTCCATCCCTGGAGGCATTTAAGGAAAGACTGGACGTGGCACTCAGTGCCGTGGTCTAATTGGCAAGGTGGTGTTTGGTCACAGGTTGGACTCGATGATCTCAGAGGTCTTTTCCAACCCAGTTGGTTCAGTGGTCCTGTGAGGTGCCCCCAAGGGTCGGCACACACGGGACCCCTACTGCAGTTTTGGGTGAGGGCCGGGATGAGATGCTGGGAGGCATGAGCCGGCTGAGGAGCCTTTTTCCCAAACCACCAGCAGATCTCCATCAGTGCCGGGAAGAAGCCCACACCCGCTCCGTTTTTCACATGGGACTAAAGCGGCACGGCGGTGGGGACGGGAGGCGCCCGGTGGAGCCCGTCCGAGCGCGGGGGACGCCAAGGGGACAGGGTCGGGAATGGGGACGGGGACGGGGTCGGGAATGGGGACGGGGACGGTCCCTCCTCGCCGCGCCGGGCCCGCCCGCCCCGCCGTATATCTGCGAGGAGCGGCCCCTGCCCGCGGAGGGGGAGGAGGCGGGCGGGCGCGGCGAGCGCCAGGGGTGGGAGCTGCGCGGGCTGCGCCGCGCGAGTGCGCGGCTCGGCGGAGCATTACGGCGGCGGAGCGCTGGCCGGGCCGGCAGCGCGGATCGCAGCGCGGCCATGGCCGAGCGCCGCGCCTTCGCGCAGAAGATCAGCAGGTACCGGGGGCCGCGCCGGCCCGGGGGGGACGGGCCCGCCGGGGGGGCCCCGCCGCCGCAGCCGCGCCCCGGGGCGTGTGGGCCCGGCGCGGCCCGCGGGCGCCCGCGCCCTGCCGGCCTCCGGGGCGCCGGGCAGGGTCCGCCCCGGCGGGGCCGCGGGGCCGCCGCGCCCCCCGCCCGAAACACGGGTCCGGGAGCGGGCGCGGTGACCGCCGAGCGCGGGGCCGCCCCACCGGGGCAGCTCCGCCAGGGGAGCGGGGGAGGGAAAAAAAAAAAAAAAAAAAAAAAAAGGGAGGAAAAGAGCCGTGGAATTCCGCTCCCGCTAACAAAGGCCGGCCGGGCGCTTTGTGCAGCCCCTCTCGCCGCACAATGGGCGCTTTCCTGCCGGCCCCGGCCGCCTCCCGGCCCCGCACCTGGAGCACCGACCTCCTCCCCGGCTGTAAAATGGAGAGGGAGCTCCAAGGGAGCTTTTGTGTGAGAGCGGAGCTGGCTCGGCGGTGGCACAGCCCCTTGGGCAGGGCAGAGGCTCGCGGGGGTCAGCATCCTCGGGTTTTCCAAAGTTCTGTTGTATTTTTAAGGAGGAGAATTTATAGAAAATTACCTGGTACTAGCAGGTTTCTGCAGGTCTGTGTTCCAGTTTAGGCGTGTGGTTCCAGGTGGGAACACAGTTTTTCTCTTTGGAGGTGAGACCAGGTAGCCTTGGGTGACTGTGGTCCCTCTCCTACCTGTAACTGGCAGAGGAGTGAAAGTGAGAACCATCGGTTTTGCCTGTGCTGTTCAGGAGGCTGTGGACAGTAGTGAAAGTGGTATCATTTATGCCATTGAGTGAGAAACTGTAGGTACAAATAGTTGCAGTTACAGGAGCTGCAAGGGTCATGGACAAAGAAATAGGTCAAAGGAAAAGTCTGGGTAGGAGGTAGAGGAGAGACATCAGTCCCACTCCACTCATGATCTGGAGACAGGGCTGAAAACATTGTTCCTCTCTCCTGGTTCTCTGCAGATTTTGGTGTGCATTAGGCAGGGGTTAATGTGACAGATCAAGGAATGGGGAGAGATGGATTTGCTGCCAGACCATTTTTCCTGCTTTTTGATTGTAGTCATAGAAATGGTCACATGAGAGACAAGTGCTAGGAGTGAGAGCGTCAGAGCTGTGCAGCCTGGCAGGAAGTTAAATAAAATGGCCCTGGGGTGACCACTGTGGCACTCAGTGTTCCCGCCTGGTGCAGCGAGTTCATGGGACCGTAGCACAGAGGAGCCACCTCTGAGCACCTTTTGGGCTCATCCAGCCCACTCCACGTGTTCTCAAACCAGCCAAGGGGCAGCACTGTGTGTGTGCTACATACGGCTCACCTGTGGCTGTAGAAGGACCCAGGCGGTCTGCAATGAGGCTGCTGCATCTCCAGCTCTTTCTTTTACACTTATGTGAAAGATTGTTGTATTTCTGTCTGGGATTTCCCGTGTTGTAGTGTCATACTCAGAGAAACCTCAAGTTCCTGGTGCACGGGCTGCACGTGCAGTGCTTGTGAAGGCAAAAACTTGCAGTGTTGTACCCAGAGGTGCCCCGAGTGGGCTGTTGCCTTTCTCGGGCTGTGACAGAACCTGCTGCTGTGACTGTTGCTATTTCAGAGGATAAGGGATTTGAGCAAGCAGCATATGGAAGTCCTAGGAGCTGTGTTGGTGGCTGCTGGAAGCCCTCCCCAGTTCCATTGTTTAAAGGAGAATAGATCCGTCCCATTTTCACACTCTGCCCTCCAGTTTGGCTTGCTTATGGAGGTGGATATAGTATTTGTCTTATTCACAGGAAATAAGAATAAGACATGGCTCATTCTTGGTGCTGCTCTTGGTTTGCTTGATAGTCTGTGCTTCAAGTGGGATGTAATTCAGATCCATGAAAGTAAATCCCTTTAGTCCTACCTACCAAACAGCTGCAAGTCTCTAAATTGGTTGTTACTGTAGAGGTAGAAAAAGAAACATAAGATGGGCTGTCCGGTTCTTTGGGAAGACCAAGGATGTGGTCTCACAGCTCTGATTTACCACCTTTCTTCAGTGTGCTGCACCTCGAGGGTACATTCAGAATGCCAGTGCTGTGCCTTGCCTGGTCATTACATCTGAGTCTTTAAATACTGAGGAGGGGCTATCAGTGATTGCCAACAACAGTTTTAAAATATCTTTTTAGTACTGTCTTTTACAAAGTATCTTCATGATTAGGGCCTGCTGGGTTGTCTGTTAGAAGGCTTTAAAAGCAGAACAGGTTTTTAGCCTGAACTTTGACCGTCACAGGTACTTACTGATTCTTCTTGGCTCCCTCAGAAGAAACTCCTGAGTTAAACTTACTATAGTGGGTTAATAATAGCTGAGATTTGCCTGAAATTTCTATTTGGAGATGTATTGGTAAGAAATTATTTATTAAATTGAATTGGATCATGTCCCTCTGCAGTATCATAATTCGTCTGTATGGCACATACAGTGTTGTTTCCAGCTCAGTGTAAGGGCAGATGTGCTTCTGTTCAGTGCCTCTGTTCAGCCTGTGTGGTGTCAGGGGGACTTGAGGAGTGTTAGTGGGAGGCAGGATCCACAATGGCAGAAGTAAAGTTCACTCATTAAGAAGTTTCAGTAAAAAACAAACAGTGCATTATTCTTGAGGGGCAGGTTCATAAAATCGCAGACTGGTTTGAGTTGGAAGGGACCTTAAAGATCATCTTGTCCTCTGCCATGGGCAGGGACACCTTCCACTATCCCAGGTTGCTCCAAGCCCCGTCCAACCTGGCCTTGGACACTTCCAGGGATGGGGCAGCCACAGCTTCTCTGGGCAACCTGTGCCAGTACCTCACCACCCTCAGAGGGAAGAATTTCTTCCCAATATGCCATCTAAGGCCACCCCCTGGCAGTTTAAAGCAAAAATGGTCAGTTCTGTGTTCCTGACTGTCCCAGTAATTGAAGCATGTTGTATCCCAGCACTCCAGCCTTTCTAGGGCAGGCAGAGGAAAAGGTATGCGTGTTCTTTTAGAGGTCAAATACAGAAAAAGAAGAAAAATCACCATTTAAACATCACACAACAAACACATACTGGACAAACACATGTAACCTTTCATCTGAGCCCCTGACTCAGTGCCTTGTTGTTGCTCTTGGACCATCCTGAGATTGGGTTATCTGGGGAATCCAGACCTGCTTCTTTGGTCAGACCATCACCATTTTGCAAGTATCTTGCCTTGAAAAGAGTTTTGGTTTTCCTTTACTGATTCCACAGTTAAAGAGGATTCCTCTGACTTGGAACAACACACCTGCCTTACCCTCTGCTTTGCTGCATGTTTCAGCCTCACACAAAGCCCACAGTGTGTTTTTTACCACTGCTCTGCCTTCTCTTACTGAGAATTTTCAGTTTTCCTGTCCCCAGCTCTCCATGGAGTCTGGAGAAAACTGTTTTCACCTCATGGGTCCAGCCCCTTACGAGCTGATTCTGCGTGAACAGGAACCCCACAGTGCCATGAGGTGCTGCTCCTTGGGGCTGGAGGGGTCTTCAGCAGAGCCCTGGCTGACAGACATTCAGTGATTTGGAAATTCCCCATCATCCAGGGCTCTTACATTGTAAATGGACAGATTTTTGGAGCAGATACAGCTCATTGTCTTTCTGGATTTGAATTGAGGGGAAAACACTTATTTCACTGCATTCAGAACAAGCATCTTATTTCTGCTGCAGCTCCCTTTACACCGATGGGGTGCTGTGAACGGGCACTTGTACATTTGTGTTCATTTAGAACCCTTTTGTATCGCCTGTAGGATGTGCTGGGGAGGCTGACAGCTGCCTTTGCCCAGCCCCAGCTGCGAAACCTGCACCCACTGAAACCAAGAGCAGAGCTGTCACTGCCTTCCAGGAGCACCCAATCGGGACAGAAACCTTGTGGTCACAGCAGGATATTCATCACAGCTGGTTCTCTTCCCACATCCAGATTCCATTTGCATTGTCACAACACTGTCATGGATAAGTGAAAGGATTTTTTAGCAGAAATTTCAAAGCAACCCTTTCCCGTTCTCTCCCAAAGTCGAGTTGGCTGGCCCTGTTCAGCCACTCTGGATGTCTCATGTGGGAGTCGGCAGCGCTCTGGGAAGCCCAAAAAAAATCCCTGACTGCTTAAAGCAAGGGAGAAGGCAGGGACAACACTTCATCTCCAAGGCTGTGCTACAGAGCTGCTTCTCTCTGCAAGGCTTCCTTCTTTGGTTGTTTTTTTTTAGTGTAAGATGTGACTTTGATCTCCTGCAGAATCCAGTCCTGTCGTGATTTTCCCAGTCAGCTTTCTTGGGAGCTCATTCCCTTCACTGCAGCCCAGGGGTGACATTTCAGCCTCAATAATCAAATATTATCAGAAGAGCACCACAGGCAGTGTTGTGTGGTGTTTTCTCTTTTAATCAATGATGAGGAAAAAGGGAATATCTTATTGCTCATCTGTGTTAATTTAAGAACCCACAAGTACCCCGCAGCAGTCAGGATCAGGCGGGGTATTTCCTCAGCTGTAAATCAAACCCTTTTCACTCCAAGGGGAAGTAGTTCACTGGGAAGGAAACAGGACCTCGGGTTTAGGAGGGAGGATGAATCCAGGGCAGAGCTCTCCCTGGAGCAGGTTCCCTCATCCACCGCGACTCTTACCTGGTGACTCACCTGGCTGGAAAAGGGCTGGAGGCAGGACAGCCCAGGGGGAGCGTGTAGGGACAGAGGGACAGGTCATCTCACTGGAGTGGCAGCACAGACACAGCCAGCCAGTGCCACTGGGCTTTGGGAATGCAGATCCAAGCCCAGTGACTGAGTATAGTAGGATAGATGCCTCCAGCCACGTGCAGTTTTACAGAGCTGAGCAGAGGGTGATGCTTTCACTTTAAAAAGTAAACTGTGTGTAAATACAGTTTGCTCTGCTCTGAGGGAGAACAAGCAGCTTTGGTTGCACAGATGCCTCGCTGTGTCAGGCTGTCTTTCTCAAGAGGCAAAGGGTCCCTGAGTGTGCAGTCCCTGCACGTGACACACAAGATGCAGAACAGGCAGGAGTAACAGTTTTGTAATTAGCAGGATGGGCAGGAACCATTTGCATTGCTTTTTCTGAGTGGGGAGGGCTGTGGAAAAAAGAGGCTTCCTCGGATCACTCAGTGGGTGATCCCGAGGCTGTGTCCTGACCCACCTTTGCTGTGAAAGGGATCTTAACCTTGCTTGGCATAAGCAGACAAGTCTCGGGGAGCCTTTTTTTGGGAAGGCAGAAAGAAGAACTGGTATTTCCAGTGCACAGCTTAAGCTCAAAAAAAAAAAAAAATTAAAAAAAGAAGGAACAATTTTTGGTTCTGACCAGGCAAGCCACATAGAAACAGAAATGATTTCTGTGTGTAGTAAAGAACCATGGGAGTGCAAACAAATGGTTTCATTTTGGTATTTGCAGCTCAGAGTACTTTGAGTTTTGTTTTGCTCCAGAAGCCAGTTCCAAGGGGAATTTTTTTCCTCTTCTTTGTGTTTTTTTTTTTTCTTCTCTGTGTGAACCAATGCACACACAATAATTAACCAGTGAAGAAGGTCAGAAATGAAGTGACTGGGGAAGATGTACTTCAAACACAGACATTCAAGAGGCTGTGGGCTGTAATTAACTGGAATGTTTGTCTGAGGATCCCAGGTTATGTGTTGAATATTAGATAGTTATTAAGGAGGCAGGTTTTTATTTGTCCTTTTAATTATCAAAGCTTTAATGGCTCTTCTGCTCTACCAAATTGATTTTTTCTTTTTTGTCTGATTGGGTTTGGTGTAACACCAGTGTTTCTTCTGGTTAGAAATGGTGTTCAGGGTTATAGTGTAGCATGAACTATTAGTCATGAATAGTTTGTCATGAACAAACAACCTATGGAAATTGAGGAGAAGGAGAAGGCAAGTGTGTTCATAGAATCATACAGTAGTTTGGGCTGGAAGAGACCTTAAAGTTCATGTCATTCCAACCCCCTGCCATGAGCAGGGACAATTTCCACTAGACCTGGTGGTATTAGTTTTAGGGAAACTGGGAGCCTCTGTGATGAAGCAGTGAGGAAACAGCCCTAAAAGTAGTCAGCTGAGGTGTTTCCTCAATAGGAAGATGCTCATTTGGTTGTACAAAGGTTCTGCTCCTTGTCTGGAGTGAGTGATCAGGATGAAACACATCTGCTAAAAGGTGTGACTGCCAACTGGAACAAACACAGGAGAGCCATCAGGGTGATCAGGGGAGCCCAAAGCCTGCTGTAGGTTCTGCCCTTGCTCAGAAGGAAGGCCAGAAGGGGAGAGGGGATATCTGGCAAGGGAAGAAGTGGGAGGAGAGCTATTGAACCTGATAATGTTGGCACAAAACCAAATGGTATAGATTACACATAAATACATTTGGTGATCAGATTACATTAGAAGATGGTTGCTAAATGTCAGACATGATGCTTTCCAGTAGGGAAGCAGGGTCCAGTACCTTTGTGAATGCAGTGATACAGGAAGGAGCCAATGTGAGCTGTGGATTAGACTGCAGGCTTGGAATAAGTAGTAGTAAGTCCTGCAGCCTCCACTCAGGAATTTTGAGGTTTAGACAGTATCTATTTGCTTCCCATGGGGAGAGGTTTGATTGGTACCTGTGGAGAGGCAGGAGTGCTTAAGACTTGAGAGTGATGATGGTGTCTCAGTGAAACCCATTGGAGGTTCAGCTCTGACTTTCTGTGGTTGTGCTTCAGGGCAGTTTTTAATATCCAGTGAGGTTATTAATGAGGCAGCAACATGGTTGATCAGTGCCAGCCTTCTGTTGTGCCACCTTTCTTGCCCTGTTGCACCAAATGCCCTTCTCAGCCGTGACAATGTGGGGCAGCGCAGTCACAGCCGTGCAAGCTCCCAGTGCCCCTGAGCAACAGGAATTGCAGCTGGGCTTGGTTCTGCTTCAAGTTGGAGTGTATTGACAGGCTGTGCTCCAAACACGGCACAGCTCCCAGCTGAGCCCAACGGGCAGGAGAAGGAAGGACGGAGAACCCCTCCGGGGTCTGTCCCAGAGCGTGTCTCGGGTCCATGAGGAGCAGGCGCTGAGTAACGTGGCTGGGCACGGCTGTGGTCTCACAGCTGAGGACAGGTTTCCTCCTCTGGCTGTACTTTCCATCTGGAAACAATGTCTCTTGAAAATGGGGAAGGATTGGCAGTTTTTCCTGTGTTGTGCTGTGTGGCGAAATGTGGGTTCTGATTTTTCCTGCCAGGGCTCTCTGTGCATCGTCAGGAGTGACACAAAACACACCAAGTGAGAGTCTGGTTTAAAGCAGAGCCTGTCTACAACCCGAGGGCAAACTTTTAAATCATCAGCCACACATGCACGGTGCTTTCCATGCCAAGCTGCCATTTTAATACATTCCAAATTTTCCTACAAATGCCAGCAGCACGCGTGGCTTGTCCTCACGTGTGTGTCTGAGAGTGTGGGCATGCGTGTGGTGGGAACAGGGGGATGGTTTGTTTCCTGGATGTTGTCTGTCCCCAGCAGGAGCTGCTTGGTCCATTTTCAGAAGCCACCCTTCAGAAGGGAAAACATCAGCTCCTGTGGATAAAGGCAAACATGAAGGAAATGAATTCTTGCAGCCAGAATACGTAAAACTTTTTTTTTTTCTTCCTTCTGCAGTCCACTTCTTTAAAAAGACAAAATAACGCTTCCTCTGGCTAATCTTACACCCATCCTCTGGCCTGAGGAAACATCTGATCTCCACAGTAGCCTTGGTTGTCCCAGTTAGTTCCCTCTTAGAGTTCCCTTCTCTTCCATGGACAGCAGTTGCCTCCATCTGCCTCCATTCCTGCCCACCAGCAATCCCAAAGCCAGGAGCCCATCCCTGTGTCAAGCTTTTGCTCAGGGGAGGTTTAACCATCTACTTGACAGGCTTTTAGCAGCTTGTGTGCTGTGCTGGCACACAGCATGTTCCCCTGGTGAGATCAGGAGTCTCTCAGCCATCATGCTGCTCCTACAAAGATCACTGATACAGCAGAAAAAAATCACCTGTGTCCTTGCAGCCTCATCATCTATCCTATGGATGGGTTAGTGTCTCCTTGGAGCTGGGAATTCCTCCTGGGAGCCAGAGCGGATGGTGCTGCAATGTGGTGAATGATGATTGGGAGTGGGTTTGTTACCAATAAATTGGTTTTGTCTCCTGGAGAGCAGCACTCTCATCTTGGTGAGGTCCTCTAGGTAGTCAGCAGCTTTTCAGCAAAGCACTCTTTTGTGGAAGGAATATGGTGTTTTGGCGTGCTTTTGGAACAAAACCATTTCCACCATGCTCAGAAGCTTTGCTATCCCTGCTGAGAGGAGCTGCAGATTCCTGCTGGGCTACAGGATGGGTGTCTGGATGGCTGTGGTAGGGCTGGACCCGTGGCTCTTTGTTAAGACAGTCCTTGACCATCAGATTTCCTCTCTGTTGTGCTCCTTGTTCTTCCTTCCTCCCTCAGGTGGTTTTACCTACCTGTTGTGTTTTCAGCCTTAGCAGTGACCATGTGGTGTTCTGGGGAAAGTAGAAAACCCTGGAGGGACACAGTGTGGATTTTACCCTCCAGACATGAAAGGACTGCTCTATGTTTTTCCTTCCTGGTGAGAAAATTGCCCAGTGATGTGAATTCTCCTGGCAGAGACTGCAAGGCATTGTGACCTGCTAGCCAGTGTCCCCTCTGCTAGTCACCACAGTCCCACCTTTACCTTTCCTATATGCAAAGGGAGACACTTTTTTTGTTCTGACCCAGTCATTTGTTTCCTGGTCCCTTGTCTAACTGTGACTGCAAAACTCCCAAATAGGCAAGGATTGAAACTGCAGAGTAAAGGAGCAGCTGTGTGACCAGGTTTGGAACTGTTGAGGGGTGCGGAGAGCTCTTGGTAGGAACTAGAAAGAGCCTGTTGGGAACAAGTTAATTTGTGCTTGGGGTCACATGCATTTTATTGCCACAGATGTGCGCAAAAGAGCAGCTCACAAAAGGGAAAAAAAAAATAATTGCTGTTAAGAATGTGTACATGTGAGAGTTCTGTGATTCCTGGGAATTCATTATGCAGGATCTGTTCTCACCGGCCGATGACGTCCTCATTCCAACCAGCACACTGGTTTCATTCCAGCAGCACTGTGAAGCATATCTGATATATCATCCTCATGGTGAGTCTTTTACAGAGATAATGCTCTCCCTGTCTCGTTCCAGAACTGTGGCTGCAGAAGTCAGGAAGCAGATCTCGGGACAGTATGGAGGCTCTCCACAGCTCCTCAAGAACCTCAACATCGGAGGCAGCGTCTCTCATCACACCACTGTAAGTAATGTCTGGAACATGGAGGGCTGGAGAAGGGCTGCACAGTTATTCTGGCTGCCATTTGGAAAGAAATTGCAGTGCTGGCAGGTTGTTGACCTGAGCGGTTCTGATAAGAGAGGAAAATAATTCCATGCAAAACCCAGTAATTTTGGAGGTCTCAGTGTTGCAAATCAGTTGGCATGGCTGGGACTTGGTGTTTGTGCAGAATCTTTGTAGGACCAGGAGCTCCCTTGATCAGGTGTGTCACCCCAGAACAGCCTGGACTGGGCACTGAATTCCATGGGTGTGTGGTTCTCTCCACGGAGAGCTCTTTGCAAGCTCCTGCACTCAGGCTGCTGTCTTCTTGTCTTTCTTGTCACTCTTGAGAGTGAGACCACAGCAACTCATCTACTCTTCTGAGGTATTTTAAATGTTACTTTGCAAGTTGAATGTGGTTATTCCTCAGGAATATGTATTTACTTACAAGTTTACAGTCCACTTTCAAGAGTGGCTGAAATGTAGGTTAGATTGTCAGAATCACCCTTTCTGAAGTCAACTTTTCATGCGTGGCCTACCAGTAACCCTCAAAATTTATTGTGGTAAACATTCCAAGAGCGCAGCAAACTTTTTCAGACTGGAACTGTATTTTTGGAAGTGTTTGATTTGAGTTGTTGCTTCGGGTCATAGCAGTTTCTTTTGCAGCAGTCAACTTGGAAAACAAATATAACAGCATCTTGCTTTCCTCGAAGAGGCATGACTAGGTCAGGCAGGACTGGAAATGTGCTCTGAATTTAATAGTCTGTACAAGTGTTGAGAGTTTACAGCAGTTCTTCTCTTTGGAGAAGGGTCCTGTAGTGTTTCCTCAGTTGATGTTCTGCCCTTTGTCCAATGTAATGTGTTAAACCTTTCTCCTGTGGAGCACGAATGTGTCCTTGGAGCTGCTGTAACCTCGAAAGGCATCTCCACATTGACCTCTGGCTTAGAAGAATGACTTCACTGCAGGCAGAGACTTTGACTCTGAGGAGATCCGGCTGTGCCAGAGGCACTGGGGATTGAGGAGGGCTGGAATTCCTGTCATTTCCAGTGCATCAGCTGTGTGAGCACAGGGAGAGCAGGAGGCTGGTTTTGCCCAGCGTGGTGGGGAGTGAGCACAGAGGGGAGGTTAATGAGAGTGGCGTGTCCAGCTAATGCCTTATCACAGCAGCTCTGCTGGGCTCTGGAGTCATAATGCAAAGCCCTGACTTGGCAGTTCTGGATGGTCTTTTGCATAATCCAGCATTAGAATAGGGAGGGACCTGTGCTATTAGCAGTGTAGGACTGGCTGGAGCACTCAGGGTCATTGAATCCTCTTCCCTGCAGCAGTGGATAGCTGAGGAATGGACGCTGGCGTTTGAGGACCCATTGGATGTCCATCCATAAGCTTCCGTGTGTCTCATGTGGTTTTACCTTGGAACAAGTTGTCTGAATTACATTTCTACTCCCCACTGCTTCCAGAAAGTGAGATCCCTTCTGTGAACCTCTCCAAGCTGCTCCTCACTCAGCCATGTTTTTGATCACTGTTTTTCCTTTATCACCTCCTTTTGCTCTGAATTGTCTCTTCCACTTTTTCTTCCTATTTTGAAGGTTTTTCCATTCTGCCGTCATCCAAGTGTTCATGCTCAAGGCTTCAATCCTGTTGATCTTCGCATGTAATTCCTAATGCAGGATCAGATTTGCTGGTCATGGTGCTGTTCAGTTCTGGTAGCTTTCATTATCCCATTGCCATGGTATTTTCTAGTAAATATATGCAAGAATCTATAAAAATGCTGGAAAAGGTCATGCTGGCTGGAAGCAGGCTCTGAGCCTCTCCTATCAGACTGCATCGTGTGATGGCTGCTGTGATAAGCTCCTAGTTTGTCGTATTAAATTTGGTGCTGAGCAGAGATGCTGTGCAGAAGCACGATTAACACAGAGTGATGGTTTGTAGGAGATAGTCTGGAGGAAAAGTCTACTCAGTTAAGTCATGAGTCTGTATCCTGAGGCTGCATAACACGACAGAGATTCGCTTGTCTGAATTTTGGGTTAATTTCCCTCCCTTAGGCATCTGTCAGAATCTGCTGGACCTGCCTGTCCTGGTTTAATAATCACCATTATGCAGAGGAAAAGCATTGCTGCTGTGAAGCTGTGTTTACTCTGGAAAGGTTCAGCTTTGTGTGGCCACACTGGTTTGAAAGCCTAAAATAGGGTGCATGGTGTGGGAGTAAATAGGAAATTCATGCTAAAAGGTGTGGATACTTAAACAGTGTTGTGTGATTGGGTTGCACTTGAGTGTGTCCACAGTGGCAGCACATTGCACTGTTGAGTGCACAGCATGGAACTGGGGGACTCCAGCCTGCCAGATCTCAAGGAGTGTTTGGACAACACTCAGGCACACGGTGGGATTCCTGGGGCTGTCCTGTGCGGAGACAGGAGTTGGACTTGGATGATTCTTGTAGGTCCCTTCCAACTCAGGATAATCTATGATTCTTTGACTCCAAATGACAGTGCAGATGTGGTCTCTCCTCCCCATCTTGCTCATTGTGGTGAGATAGTTCTGGTCCAGGTAAGGTCAATGCTGATTCCCTGTTGACAGTTGTCACCGGCAGCTGCTTTTGGTAGTTTAGCTGAGAGTCTTTATCACAGGGAGTCCAACAGAGACATTTTATGGAGAAATGGATATTTTTGTGAATGAAGAGCCCTCAGCACCGTGCTTGGTTGGGCCTTTTGTTTCTTGTCCACTGAGCCAGTGCAGGGACATTCCCTGCTCCACAGACGTGCCTATGGTTGAACCTGGGATAAAAGCAAAAGCCTGCCAGCTGAATTTTAGCAAGTCTCTTCTCTTTTGCCTCTCAAACAGCAGACAAAATGTGGCCAGAACTGTTTCTAATTTGGTATCTGGTAGAGCTGGGGAGAAGACAGTGCTTTCAAATGAGTTTATTATTGTCAGCCTCCACCCTTCTGCCACTTCAGGAGCAGTTGATTTTAATTGCACATTCCTCAAACCCCAGACACAGGTCCAAGGCCTGGGGAGGCTTTTCCTGTGTAACCTAACGTGCGGAGCTGGGACTCCTGGCAGGATGCAGTCCCTGCAGCTCTGAGCTTTTATTTTTGCAAACCAGAACAGAAGGCACTGACAGTTTTTGTTGCTGAGAAGTAGGAGCTGGTGAGCTCTGAGAGTTACGTGAGGGAGGGTTTATTTTTTGAAGTTACTTTTGCAAGTCTCTCTAAACCCGCTGGTGAAGGGAGTGTTCATTTGCACCCTACTGTTTGTGCTGTGGGTTGTGAGCCATGTGCTGTGCTCATCTCGGATGCCTCCAGAGGTTCAGTATTCCCTCGTGGGAGCTGGTGCTTCTCACCATGAATCCCCACTGACTGAGTGCACTGAAAGCAGAGAGGCTGCACTTCCTTTCAGAGAATTCCCCAGCATCTTGCAGGATGGGGAATTTGCTTTGTTTGTTTGATGAACCGGACTGTTTACTATGGGCCATTATAATCCCTCGTGACTAACCACTTTCTTTTCTTTCCAAGTTTGCTTTTTCTGTTGAGCAGCTCCTTGTGGTGCCTGTCTCCCTGCTGGGGATGCTGCACTGTGGCCAAAGCCTGACTGTTCTCTCTGGATTTCTGCAGCAGTTTTACCTGGATGGAGCTAGACTGTGGATTGCCAGAGCTTAGCAGAGTTACTGAGGAAGCAAAAGCTTTCTCTGAGTCTTGGTGTGCACGCCTTGGTTTGGTGTTTGGTGTCTGCTTCTTGTGCTGCTTTGAATAGCAGAAACACAGAATGGTTTGGGTTGGAAGGGACCTTAAAGCTCATCCAGTTCCAACCCTGCCGTGGCAGGGACACCTTCCACTATTCCAGGTTGCTCCAAGCCCTGTCCAGCCTGGCCTTGAACACTTCCATGGTTAGATAAAGCCTTGCAAAATCTTGGATTTTTTTTCACTTTTGAGTGCCAAAGATAATCACTGAGATGTTTTTGGTTATTGTCCAAAAACTTGATTATTTTTCTTTTCTAAAAAAAAAAGAAAATTTCCTCAATTCTTAAAAATCTTTAGAGGTCTTATTTTTTCTATTTCTTTAGATCTTTAGAGGTATATTTTAATGGCTGGATGTGGCACTCAGTGCTATGATTTAGTTGACAAGGTGGTGTTTGGTCAAAGGTTGGACTCAATGATCTTGGAGGACTTTTCCAAACTTAATGATTCTATGATTTTAATTAGAAGAGCAGCTTTTCACAACACTTGCAGATAAGCAGAGTGAATGTATACTCAGTTGTTTGACAGAAAAATCACAGCTGTTTCTAAAGGATTAGGGGTAATATTTCCTGTCTGTTGATGTATGTTACAGCACAGTTGAATGTTAGCATGTAAAGGAACACTGTTATAAGAGATATTAATTAGTCTGGGAATAAAGGGGTCTGGATTCTCGGATGTGATGTGATCTGACCACGTCTGCTCTCAGCGCTCCATTTTCTCCCTGCAAAATGAAGGTGCTGACATTTACATATCTTTGTAAAGCACTGCTGGGTTTATGGGCATTATCTGGGCTAATTGAAGCTTTGTCTTGGATTTATTGGATGTCAGACTTTGGCCGTGTGTTCAAAGATAGCATCTAATTATTCAATAAGAGAATATAGGTTCCTTTGTATATTTTCATTGTTTATTTTAACATAATTTAAAAGAAGAAGAAGAGATAATTTGTGCAAGTGAATGGGAAGCACAGCAAGGGAAAACATGACAGTATCTCATGCGGCACAGAAAAGGGCGTTTTGAAGTGTTCAGAGCCAAGTAATTTTATCACCAAAATCACTAAAATGAAAAGGAAAATGAGCCAAGTCTTAATGCTGTCTCAGAGCTGATGAAGGCTTAATAGTGACCCCCATTATATGTATTTCCTGGAGGGTTTGCCCTGCCTTGCTGAATGGTCTGTCCTCATCAGACAGGGGAGGATGGGAGAGGCATCCACATCCTCTTCCCTACCCCTCCCATTGGGGGTTGCTCACAGTTAA